TCCAGACACCCAGGCGAATCTGTTAAACATATACGACAGCAATGACTATCCAACACTCAAACAGCGCTCGCCTGCCGCCTCTCTCCCCCTGGACAACTAAAACGGAATGAAACTCTCAGAGTAAGCTTAGACGGGACATATATTCGACAGCCTGACTCCCAAACTGAGCGCTCCTAGTCCGTTCGTCTAGTTCTCGAAAAATTCGTAAAAGAACGCTTGAGGCGCTCAGGTAACATCTACCCAAAGCACTGCAGATATCCCCACCACGTCCTACAGAAGTCGTCGTACTACTCCTCCGCTTATTCGTCTTCTGCTCCTTCTGATTCTACAACTACAATCTCAAGTGCCGCTAATCTATCTACATATGAGTCTTTATTTTTCCTTAAGTTTCCTTCTTATATCTGCATCAGTTGGTGTAAGTCCAAGTTTGTTTGATGTATATGAAATCCTTGAACATTCTATCTTTATCGAAATCTCTCTTTTTAGTTCACTCCAGAACTGCACATCTCCGTTGATTATTATAGAATATACATCCCAACTGAGCAATTTCAGTGTGATACGTAGATTCATTATCTTACGATAATTACAATTGCATTACATACGTTCCCTTTACAGATTCTATCGGATTCCTGTCCCGTGATTCTCCCTTTTGCATGTGCCGTCGATGAACCTGCTATGCTTGTTCCGACTAGGATTCGCATATTCGCATCGCCGTGGGCTTCACATCTCCGAGTAATTTCCGGTCCTTGTAGTCTGGAGTGAGATTAGATATCGCTCCCTGAATTGTCATTCGAATCGAGAAGATAACGATGGTTTGTGGCTCAACTTTTCTGGCATCTCAATTGTCTATCTCCGCCTATTGTTGATATCTCTATCACCTGACCTCCGATTTAGGGCCTTCAATTTAGCAAGAAAGCTTACGAATTAGTGGTGCTGCGATGCTGCTATTATTTACCATATGTGATTTAGATAAGAACCCTATGCTGCATTCAATAAGCAGAGATCGATCGATGAACATAGGAAGAGAAGATTGCGTAAAGTGCTGCTGCTTTCCTAATAACAGTAGAATATGAAGCTTTACAGTTTTTAGTGTTGTGGTCTATTACTTTATATACACGATTTTGACTTGAACAGCTTGTCCTTATCTAACCGCACTAACTATACAACTAACAATATTGCTAACTTAATAAACTAATTACATGGAAGAGTTAGTTTCAACTGAAAATAATGTAACAAGAATAGCTAGCTGAACTTTAGCGTTACACCTTCACTCTGCGTCGTTGTATCCTTTGACTGTTGAGTTTCATAGTCTTGGACTCATTTTAGACGAATGGACTTTTTATTATGAACCAGCCTTGTTGAATGCCGTGGTTTTAGGGGTGTCAAGTTCGGATATTGAAATCGATTAAACCGATCTGAATGACCGTTATCGCAAATCCAGATCGATTTTTAGGTTTCTTTTTAAGAACATTGTAGGTTTTTTTAATATAAATCTAAGACTGCAACTGATAATTAAGGGTAGATTTTTAATTTTACACAAAATAAATCCGATATAAATACCGACCGTACTTGAGATAAAATTTACCATGTGGAATATATATCTTTTTTTTTAAGTTTAAATAATATGCATTGAATTTTTTTGGGCCTTGGAGTTATGAAAAACTATTACAGCCTAAGTAATTAAACTCAAAATTTACTAATTCCTAAACCCTATTATGCTACTTTCTAACTTAAGCTAGTTTATTTCAGTATTCTTTATTAGCAAGACACAACAGTAAAACTCTAAGCGATTATGAGTAGCAAACTATAATGTATTCCGAATATGTTTAACCTTTCATATAATTTAGATTTATGCTTTTTGAATATTTAAATCTTCTATAGACTTTATTCTTGAGTTTGTTCCCATCGATATTCTAGCTTGGTATTAAGATCATTTTCTTTCAACTCGGTGATTTATAATTTCTTTGCCTTTGGTTTGATTTCTTTTACGTTGTTGAAGAGTAGTTGATGGATGCTATACTATAGTCATTTTTTTTTAATTTGTCATTTCAATATGCCTTTAAACAGTAAAAGAATGTCTAGAGAGTTGCTAAGTCACTATAGAACGTATGTTATTGCATTCTATCTTCTATTAGTGAAGTTTTATATATGATATTTTAAAAATTATCCGAAAATTACTGAACCGTATCCGGATACCGAAAAGAAACGCGACGGTTTCGAAAGTCTAGTTTTGATTTATATTCAATAATATAGAATAACCGAAAAAAATTTGGTTGATTGGTACAGAGAATTTTATAAATAACCCGCCGAATCCGAAACCGAACCATTGAACACCTTCTATCCCTACCTGGTTTTTTCATTGGACCTGACTCTAATTTTATTTCCCGTCTATGGATATGTTTTGAATTTTCGCTGCACATATAATGGTAAATTGATCGTATTCTTTCTATTATATTTATCATCATTAAAATAATTAATGCAAATAATTACTATTACTCAAACATTTTTATGAACATCTTAAAATATGAGAGAATATGTTAGATAAATAAGATACATGTATGGGTATAAAAACACGACACTGTATGTTTCTAAGATATCATTTGTCATTGATTATTTTTCATTTAAATTTTTGTTGAGGAATTAAAAATTAGATCATATGGCACTGCTACGTAATTTATAAATTGTTAAATAAAGCAATAAGTGAATGGTGAACGAGCTATAAACGTTGACATACGAAGTGCTCGAAAGGGCGAGGGTCGACCTCATCATCCAGTTTCACAGTCAGGCCCCTCGTCCCGCGAGGGCACGCTCGAATCATGGTACCACAAACTCTCTGGGGAGCGTAGAGGCTAAGCACATGCTGCAGCGTGACCTCCCTACCGGCCAGTTCTGCATATTTGATAAGCATTGCTAATAATTTGTAAAGAGAAGGAGCAAGCTGACCCGGGCTTACCCCGTAATAACGACAGAAATCAACCACTAGTATTGGGAGCGGGAGCTTAAACCCCAACTTGAAGGGATAGGCGTAAAAGACGCAGTATCCCCTGCGGTCGGTGTGGACCCTCTCCTCGCTTCTAGCGAGAACGACGTCAGCATAGCTGGGGATGACCCCCTGTCCCCGTAGTTGGGCCATCCCAATCTCCCCCATTAACGGGGCTTCATCCACCTGATCCTCCCCACCATCGGCGGTGAAATCAGTCATCGGACCTCCGGGCAGAGATACTATCTCGTCAATCGATGGAGCTTCATCGGTCTCCACCAGTTCTGCACCGCCCATTGCCGGAGATGGCCCTTCAGTCACCGGAGAGTTAACCGGAAGATCCGTCGGAAGAACGTTTTGGGAAGAACTGCCTGCCATTGTTGATTCAATAACGAAACAGAAACAAAGTTTGATGGACAAGACGGAAGTTATAACGATCGAAGAACCAAGATGAAGGTGAATTAGCAGGAAGAAAAACTTCTTCAGAATCTCTCTCAGACAAACAATGAAAATATGAGAAGTAAATGCCACAACCCTTATTTATAGGCAACACAAGTGGCTTTCATGAACCCCAATAGCCACCATTAACTACATGACCAACCGCACACCGGTTCGATTCTACCGAAACGTGCGTCATTATGACAAGCTCCATGAAGCAGCTTTTCAGTCGCCAACCCGCGTCTCGCCCTCGAAATGGTTGTAACGACCTATGAACGCTGAGGAGATGTTCCGCGCGCCCTCAAAATTTTGGACGTCGCCAAACACGTATCAAGCGTGCCCTTACTACCCTCGGCCGCACAACATACGACCGTCCGCCATGGTCGACGGGTATGCTCCCAAACAAACGTAAGGATCAGAGCACAACAAAGCTCGACCTCACTCGAATTAAGTTAAAGGGTCAAGTGCCTTCGCCAAGGAGGAGAGTCCAACCTCGATCGAACGGCGACTTGATAACACAATAACAAAACACTGACACTCTACAAGGCTAAGGGCCATCACCAAAGAGAATTCGGCCTCGACCGAAGCGACAGTCGACCTCCCTATCCGAGTTTCTCAAACTACAGTCGATGAAATCCACTCATCGAGCTCGGCCAAGGCACGACCTCAATAAGCGGAGGGACTAACTGTATGAGTCAGAATCCGACCTCACGATAATTAACGAAGGTAATCCCGTCTTAAGCTAATTCATGATTGATTAGTGGTACGACCACTCAGAATTAACGGTATCCAACCCTTATCTGATTCGATCAACAAGGCCACGTCCCGTCCGTCATCATGAAGGCGAAACCCCAACATGGTCACGGCCACTTATTGTCAGCTCACGAAGCTCACAACTATAAATACCAAGAGAGGAAGCCCTAGAAAGGGGGGCTTCTTCTTCTTTACTATTCAAGAGAGAGAGAAAGATATAACGATACACATATTATGGGAAAGTGGAACATCATTGTAAGGCTCTGAACCACTTCATGGAGAGGCAGACCACAGCAATACTATCAATAAAAGCTTTTAATGTCTCTCTTCCTAACGCTGAGTACTTATTTGCGCATCTTTCATTTGGTCTAATGGATTATTACGGTTTGCTATGATTTTTCCGTGATTTATTTATATTGTTTACACTCATAAGGTATATGATAACTTTTCAGCAAACACATTTCTTACTAGATAAACCAAAACAATATGCGATTCACTCTATAATTGCAGAACCGCCAAAAATCAATACTGGCCCTTTCGGTCTTTCAACTACTAATAGTTAAACAATTTCAAGCAGAGTATGCAGCAGTAGTACTATGTTGTATAGTAGAAACAATAATGTATCGTCCTGATAAAAAAGGGCAGCCCGGTGCACTAAGCTCCCGTTATGCGCGGGTCCGGGGAAGGGCTGGACCACAAGCGTCTATTATTACGCTGCATTTCTGCAAGATGCTGTTTCTACGGCTTGAACCCATGACCTCCTGGTCACATGATATCAACTTTACCAGTTACGCCAAGGCTCCCCTTCAATACTCGAAGTGTTTTTCGATTTTGGTTAAATTCTTATCCATTTTGCGACAAAAACTCAAGAGAAGGTTTACAGTTTACACCAACGTTAACTTCAGAATTTTCCTGTTAAAGCTTCTTTAACACTCTTCACAATCCACAAAGAAGTTTAATCATCACGTATGGCAATTTCATCACTCTCTATACTCAACTAATTGTTCCTAAAAGCTGAAACATGATATGAAAGGAAAGAAATGCAGATTTCAGAGCCAGAACTATACGATCATTTCCACTAAATTACAATGTTAGCTATTGTTCTGTCAAGCCATACCATCTTGAGTCCTCAGAATTTCCCGTTACCAATAATCCATAACCAATCTAAGGCAACACCAGAAAATATTCCACCTAGTAGAAATAGCACTAGTATGTTACCCAATGCATTTTGCTCAGGCCCCTACAAATATCAAAATTCCAGCAAGTGTTAAAATTTAAGAAATGATGAAGAAAATGACATCTCTATGTATTCTGTAAGAGTAAAACTTTACCAACCTTGTATCCTTGAGGAGCAACTGTCATGACACAAACAGTGAGATAACCATTTGTGAGTCCCAAGAAGGATACAAGAAATATCATCCAGCCTTGATCGCCGTATTTTGCAGTGAAGTAGAAACAAGGGATCAGCAAGAAACGAGAGAGTGTCGCGATCATGAGGCCTTTTCGTGATTTAAGCTTGATTTTCTCTATCAGTGGAATGTATCTTGCTATCAAATCCCAAACATTGTACATTGCTATCAAAACTAGAGCATACCTGTAATAAAACCATTTTTTAAGAAAAACATTATTATCAGTAATTCAAATTAATATGCAGTTAAAGCAACTTAGCCTAGTATGTCTTATCTTCTTTGGGTGAGAACTCCAAGATATCAAGTTGACTCTGCACATGCTCAAGATAATATGGAACAGTGTGCCATTTGAATTTCAATTTGATAATATTAATGATGCACATGGAGTTCCAGAATGCTACTTCTACAGATTGGAACATTCTATATTTTTCATTTTAATACTTTATCGATTTTCTTAAAAAATGACTATTATTGATGTAGACCATTCAACCTGATAGTTGAAAAATAAATTAATGAGGTATTACAAATTACTATAGCAAAGATTTCTAGGCATGCAAACTTACCATGAGCCCAATTTGTGGGTACCAGTGTTCTCATATAAGAATCCAGGGAAAATTGATAAAGTGAGGACATATATTAAGTATAAGTCCAATGCATAATCAATGTTCTGGAAAAACAATTGTTTGGTACTCAGACGTTGTAATTGCTTAGCATCATCACCAGCCTGTCGAGTTAAATGAAACATATGAATTATAATTATGATCATGAACATCACTTATAACAGTTTTTAGTTTGAGGAGAAAAAGTTGTTTACTTTTTCGATTGGTTGAGTTTGGATGCCTGCAGCAGCTAAGTCTGCTGCAACAGTTGTTGATCCTTCTCCAGCTGCTTTTGTGCGATAGTGCTTTACAATTGGTAGCTTAGGGAAGATGAATGCATATAGAAGGATGCATAGGAATTCAAAGAATGTGGAGATGGCAAGAAACAACACTGCAAAATCAAGAATTATTAGTTTTCTCAAGGGGGGGAACTCAACACAGCATGTCAAGATACATCAATTTGGATAGGATTGAAAGTAAATCAAGCATAGTGTTATTCTATTTAACTTTCCAACAACGAGATCAGAATTACGTACTAACTCCTTTGCGTAGACCGTTGCTACTGTTTTCAAAAGCTGCTTTGGTCATTAGCCTTAAACCAGAGGTGAGAGCTCCAGATGCAGCAAGACCAGCTAAAAATGACTGCATAATTCATCGAGTCAAACTACAAACTTAATTCAGGATTTCATGTAGTAATTGAAGTAGAAATAAGTTAAAAAATGTTACTGCAACCTACTTGGATGAACTCAGGGCACATGAAGGATAAATCTCCAACCATTCCACCTTGAACATGAGCATCTGCAACTCCAAATGTACCTACTATAGCACATACACCAATGTAATTTCCAAGTCCACCTTTACCAGACGTCGCCAAATCCAACTGGACAGAAGCGTAAAGACATATTATAAAAAGATTGAGCAAAATAACAACAACATAAAAACCAGAAATCAGAAAAAGCAGAAGATACCACTATGAGTGAAAATGTGCTTAAGGTGAAAAGAGTATATCCAGCTAAGTTGCGCATTCTTGTATCAACTTTTGCCTCATTATATGCAAGAATTGCCATTGTTCCAAGTGCAAACGGTTGATAAACTAGGGTGAGAACCCTTGAAGGATGATAATTCTTCAACACAGAGACAAAATAAAACCAGTCAGTAGATGTTCAAAAACTCAAAAATCCAGGTGATTTGATTGCATTTTTTCTAATTTTCTGCGACTGCATTGGAAGAAAGACTCACTGGATACAGTGCATAGTAGTAATCTCCAATGCTCAGCAAACTATTCCAAGAAACAAGTGAGCCAAGTCCCAGAATCCAACAGACAAGCATACCCATAAATTTCCCCTGAAAAAATTCACATACATTTATATCCCAACTACGCCAAATTATCAAACAACTCCTCTACTTTTACCATAACAATTAACAACCATGACAGGATAAAGTAAAAAAAAAATTACAGTCTGAAACAAACCTCAAGCCTAGTAGGACTTGGACTAATGCTTGAAATAGCAGTAGTCATGGCTGCTTCTTTGTGGATCAAATCCCAACACCAAAGACTGCAATTGCACAAACTATCATATATCAATCTTTGATACTATAATTCAGTGTAAACATAAATCTCACAGCTGTTAGAAGGGCCGGACCACAAAGGTCTATCATAGCAAGAGCCTGTTTCCACGGGCACCAACTTTACCAATTACGGCTACCATTAAACAGAAATATCACAATAAAAAAGCAATAACAAGGTATGAAAAAGACCTTATATCAACTAGTTAGGATGAAGAAGACTGAAATAGCTAAACCAAAAGGGTTCATATATAGATGAACATACATTGAAATAATAAGTAATAGTAGTAGGACAGAGACCTTATCAAGTGACAATAAAAGATAAGCTTCCTTTTGTTAAAAAGGTATGGAGTCTCTGTTGACTGCAAAAATGTAAAAAGGATGTGAATGGAAGATTCTCTGATTCTTTTATGAATTTTTGGGAATCTCTAGGGTCAATTATGATGACTGTTATAATTGTAAGTGATAATTGTGAAGTGGAAAAACCTTATAAAGCGGCTTGGTGGTAGGGGAGTAATTGGTTGGTATCGGGAATCGTATATTTATGCATTTATGGAAATACACATATTTAATGGCAAAATCCATGCAATAATAATCGGAATATAATTAATGTAGGTTTTGTCTGTCACTTTGATGATAAATTATTGAAGGTTATTATTAACCCTCCACTTATAGAAAACCACTTAATTAATCATGATCAAACAGAACTTTACGTAATAGGTAGCAAGTGTTGCGTACTCTACCAGTCAACTAGTTTAATAATTACGTGGGGATTTGATTAGGGGGTCTTAACTTAGAATGATATTCAAGGGTTATTTTCTAAGATTCAATAAATGTTACTTTATGAATTTTAGAAAACGAGATGAAAAAGTGAAGTGGCAATATTCATTGTTTCAAAATAAGCTCCAAGAAAATAAAGAAAGCGTGATGGTGCAATAATAACCAAATAAATAAAAGAACCTTCCAAACGTCAGCTGACTTATTTGAGTTACCTTTTTCTCCCAAACTCTTTAATGAAAAAAATATATCCAAAACAAGTATAACTCTAATGAAAGCCGAAAATTGTTTTATCTGCATAAGGAGGGCAAAGGAGTATTCAGAATATTCTGCAAACAAAGAAGAAGAAAAGTCGAATTAATATATGGGTTTCCATTGAAGAAAAGCTATCTGGTTTTGTGTCCACATTTTAAACTAAACATCTACTAAAGTATTTGTTAAGGGTACACAGTGTGAATTTTTTAAATTAATGGAACTTGTGAGTTTCGACTATTATATTATATAATTAAAAAACAAAAAGGTCGTACTCATCGGCGTATAGCTGTGGAAGAGAATCCAAGTATTATATATTATTGGATGTTAGTGTATATCATCAATTTTGAAATACCATTCGGTGGATGGAAATCTTGGAACACTGCTTTTGGCTTGGTTGGCTCCATACATTACGAATTGTCAACTTATTAATCATCTTTTTTCCCTAGCTTATTGTGTAGCATTTAGGGAAGAGTTGGGTATATGGGAGAGTAGAGAACTTTGGTAGATTTTAGGTGCAATTGCGCATAGGGCTATGGATGGTTTGATAAATACTGAAATGAAAATTAGTATAATGTTTTTATATTTCGATTTTATATGATATTTGGTACAATATTTTTTATATAAGCATTTTAAAAGAAAATTGGTACTTTGGTATGCCATTTGGTGTTTATAGAAAAATACCAAAGCCCAAAATTTCAGCATAAAAGATTCTTGGTTTAGCTGGTTAAAACTTTTTTTTTTTTAAGTAATAAATGTGAAATATTACCATTAACAAATCAAATTAGTACATCTCTTGAGCTCTTATAGCTCCACTACACTCATTTCCACAGTTAATTAACCTCCAAATACGGAAAAAAAAAATTAGAAAAGATAATGCTGCCAACTACACAAACTAACTTCTAGTTTTTCCTCTAAGTACATAACTTGTTCAGTAATTGTCTACATTGCTGTGCTTTCCTAACTATTTGTATATCCTCTAATATGTATTTGAGCTCCTTTTTTATCTGTGCAATTGCAAGGTCTGTATTCATAGTTGTGTTCCTGAATATCTTTCAATTCCGTGCCTGCCATGTGTGGTATATCGTTGCCCCCCATATGGATGCCACTACTTCATTCTTCAGTTGTTCCCATTTTCTACTTTTCAACCAATGTAGGCTTTGTGTAACTCCTCTGGCCATCAATTGAATATATGTGCATTGACTTAGCTCGCTTCTCATCTCTCTTATCCACTCACAATCCACAAACAGATGTTGCATTGTTTCCACTACTCCATTCCCACATAAGCTGCATGTATTGTCTGTCACTATTATGTGCATGTGCTGCAGTCTCTCCTTTGTGAGCAATTTCTTTTGATTAGCCTACCAAACTATGAACCTGTGCTTTGGCTGCATAACATTGGTCCATACTAAATCAGCAACCTTGCATCTAACCAATCCAGTCAGTAGTGCATTATAGCTCTGATTTACTGAGTACTGTCCACTAGGTGTGAGAGTATATTTACCTCTCTGGTACCATTGTGTCATGATTGCCTTAAGTGTATTAAGCTTCCTCCAATACCAGCTACTATCCACTAAAGGGCTATGGTTCCAAATGGTATCATTTTGCTTTATGTATATGCCATGCACCTATCTCACCCAAAGTGAATCCTATTTCTCATTTAGCTGCTAGAGTAGTTTTTCCACTGAGGCTGCGTTCCAATTACTGCATCCCTTTATGTTTGTTTACCGTGAAAATGGTAATAACAATTAAATTTGATTATGGGACTCTAAAAATACGTGATCTATTTTTATGTTAGTTGTTAAGCAGTTGATGCTATGCGTGAGACTTAGAAACGAAATAAGAGTTAAGAATGAGGTGATAATCAAATCGATAGTTGACAATCGGGGCCTCGAGCTTGTCGATTCGGGGGCCTCGAGGTCGATTCCGGGGCTCGACTGTGAGCTATCGAAGGTGATTGAAGTATGACTAACAGTTATGATAAAATCAATGAAGGCTCTTTATGTCCAATGATAAGCAATAAATGATGAACATAATGAAGATAATAAATGGAAGCAATAATATCAAGAGAATATGTTAGAAAGCACAGAGAATGTTCTTGTATATTTCGTGTGGAGCAACTGAAGCAACAGACCATTACAAAGTGACATGGATTCCCTTTATATAGGAGGGGAATTCCAACGTAGTACAAAGTGCATTAATTACATAGATCTGGAGATGGGACAACTAAATGACGTCCTGATTTGGGTTCAGAGTAGCCCGCTAGACTGTGTCAGCCCTAGCCGCATGCCTTGGGAACTCCCCATTTCTACCATTACCGTGATCATTACTACCCTGAGGTCGAGTATCGACGACCTTCGAGGAAGGATAATCGGCCGCGGCCTCGAGCCTTTGAGATGATCTTCTGAGGCGCCTCGAGGACGAGAAATTGGACCCTCCGATTTCACCGTATACAATGTTCAATCCTCCATACTTTTTTGGTTTACACACATTCTCCCAAGCCACCAGTGCTATCTTCTTGTGTTCCTCTGATGTGCCCCATAGGTAGTCCCTACATCTCTTGTCAACTGCTTTAAGCACACTTTATGGGAGAATAAAGACTGCTCCCCAAAAGTTATAGATTGAAAACAAGACATCATTTATGATTTGCAACCTTCCTATATAAGACAAATGCCTTGAATAAGCATTTGTGATCTTTTCTGTAATTTTATCTAATAACTGCTGACATTCCATCTTGCTCAACTTCTTTGAAGACAGAGGCAACCTCGGGTACCTTATAGGGAGTGTTCTTGGTACAGATCCTGTCATTGCAATGATCTCCTCCTGTACTTCACTTGTAAGCCTTGCCAAGAATATATTGGACTTGTCTGCATTTGCGATCAGTCCAGTGAGACAACTAAAATGATTAAGTACTTCCATAACTCTTTGAATAGACTTTTTATCCCCTTTACAGAAGATCATAATATCATTTGCAAATATCAGATGAGTAAGTTTGAGTCTCTTACACATTGGATGAAATTTGAAATCAGGGAGGTCACTCATTCTCTTCAAGGTTCTGGATAAGTATTCCATCACTAAAATAACGAGTAAAGGAAAAATTGGATACCCTTGTCTCAATACTCTCCTTCCTTCAAAGTAACCATGTCCTTCACCATTCACCTTCACAGAAAACTTAGTCGAGGTAATGCATGTCATAACTATCTGAACAAACGAACATGGGAAACCATACACAAGCAAAGCTTCTTCTATGAAATCCCAGCTGACCATATCATAAGCTTTTTTCAGATCAATCTTCATGAGGCGCATCTTGGTGTTGTTTTTCTATTGTAGTGTCTAAGTAGATCATGACAAATTAAGACATTGTGAATGAAAGATCTCCTCTCCACAAATGCAGCTTGTATATCAGTTACAAGGTATGGTAACACTTTCTTCAATCTGGTGCACAACATTTTTGAAATGGACTTATAGATCACATTACAACACGAGATAGGTTTGAACTGACTGGCAACTGAGGATCATGTACTTTTGGAATCTGGGCAATCATGGTTGCATTAAGTTGCTTTAGTAGTCTGCCATCTCTCAGAAACTGTAGAACTGCCTTTGTTACCTTCCCCTACTATGTTCCATGCTTTTCTAAAGAAATCACTCCCATACCATCTGGCCCTGGGCTCTTGTTGATGTCGATGCTAAACATTGCCTTCTTCACCTCCTTCCCAGTAATTTCCTTCACCAGTTCTAATTGTTAATCCACTGACAAGAGAATTCCATTTTTCAGAAGCTGCTAAATGCCGTAGTTCTTTGTTCACCTTTCCTCCCCAATAGATCTTGGTAGAATTCTACATATATTAGCTATTCTCTCAGGTTCTGTGTGTAGTCTAACTTCTTTGTCCTTCAGTTGAACTATTGATTGTTGAAGTTTCCTATGCTTGATGACTGCATAGAAATACTTTGTATTATCATCTCCTAGTTTAATCCAGCTTGCCTTGCTTGTTGTTGCAAATAAACTTCTGCCAAGTATGAGGATCTCCTGAACTTGAGGTAACTTTCCCTTTCCTGTTCTTGCAGTCTCTGATCCAAGGAATTTTCTTGCAATGCCAATTGTGCCAAGAGAATTTTTTCTCAATCTTTTGCTGCCTCTGCCTCGATATCTTTAAAGAACTTCTTGTTCAACTCCTTCAGACTTTGTTTCAGCATTTTCATTTATTTAACTATTTGAAACATCATGCACCCTTCTATAGGTATTTGCCACACTTGTGACACTCTTGTCTGGAACTCTGAATGACTTGACCATACATTACAGTACTTAAAAGGTTTCTTTGGATTCTTGCCATTCTTGATTTGCTCAATCATTACATGGCAGTGATCACTAATCCCTTCTGGCTTGAACATAGTTACAAAATCTGGCACGGTATCCTACCACTTCGCATTCACAAACACCCAATCTATTTTTGAGTACACTCTACTACCTCCCTGCTTATCACTCCAGGTATGCTCCCCTTGAGGGAAGTTCTATCTGACATGTGGTAACATATTGCTGAAAATCCTTTACCTCAGGCATTGTCACTGGGCTCCCTCTTATCCTATCTTCTATATTCAATATCGAGTTATAGTCACCCATGAGCAGCCAGGGCAGTTTACATCCCAGGCTGATAGATTCCAGGTAACCCCATAGTTCTTTCTTTCCTTCTCTTGTGTTATAGGCATATACCACAATAAGTATAAAAGGAGTTTTTAAGTTGCAATGCACTATATATCATGTCACAGACTGTGCATTGCTACTCATTTGTGTAACATGAAAATAATCCAGCCTCCCTACCAACATGATTGTACCATTATAATGGTGTTCTAAATTGGTTAAACAATTCCACCCCCTAAATATTTTTGTCACCACCTCACGTATTTTATTAGCCTTGGCCTTATTTTCAACCAACCCAAGCAAACATATATTCTCACTATTGCGGAGGATTGTAACTTTCCTATGCTTATTAGGGCCATTGAGTCCCCTAATATTCCAGCATAGGATATTATCCATTACCTGAGAGAGGTATTTTTGAGCCTCCCTCATTGCGACTTACCATGTTGTCCAGCTGATCAGGTTGTTCAGTTCTGTTAAGAGCCTGAAAAGAATTCTATGTCTGCACCTGCTGCACTTGCCTGTATGCTTGATTGTTGTGTATAATGGAGTTATCCACCCTGCTCCATTTACCTGATTCCTCTTGTTATGATTCATTGTTGCAACCCCTTTTTCCTGTGACCCTCCCTTTGCTCCTTCAACCTCTTTGTTGTGTATTTCACCAGCAGTAGGGCTAGCTTGTCTTGCATTGTCCCCTGTCTTCTCTTTGCCCTTCTCCCTTCCCTTGGCTACTTCATTTTCCTGATCATCTGTTTGCTTTTGTGGAGTTTTTGGTTGTTTCCTTCTACAAGCTTCCTCATTATGGCCATATTTGTTGCAACATTTGCATAAAATAGGTTTTCAATCGTACTGGACTTTCTGCTCGACCAAATTACCTCTTTCATTTTTAAACACTATCTTCTCTGGTAATGGACCATCTATGTCAACTTCAATGAGAAGCCTAGCAAAGTTCAAGCCTAGCTTCTTCTCGGTTTGATGATCAACCATTAAAGGTTTACCAATTAAGCTTCCAATTTTGCTAAGCCCTTTTGGACTCCAATCTTGAAGTCTAATCCTGGTAATTTCACCATATAGGAATCGAGTATAACTCTTCCCTATTGAATTCCATAGTAGGATCACAAGCTTTAACTATGAAGGGTTTATTGTCAAAATGGTATATCCCACCTTGAAACACCTCATTTTTTCCCACCTCTGCGTCAAATCGGACTAGTACTATCCCATTTTTCAACATAAATATCTTGTTTATTTCATGCTTTGCACACATTCGCTGGATAAATCCATTTAACACTACAAATGGTGGATGTGCCCCAAGTACATAACACACTACTGCATTCTTCCAATAAGCTAATTCAGTACTATTCCTCAATTTCAATCTCACAAACAGGTATTTCCCCATGCATTTTTGGTGCTACAAAGTCCAATTTGAAACCCGCGTTTGAGATTTTGGTTATGTCAAAATTGTCCCAAATCAAGGCTTCTTCATCAATTCTTCCTCAGCCTCAACTTTATCAGCCCAGGATATCCTACCCTTCCCTATTGAATCAATTACCCGCACTACTTCTCACATCTGTGACTTCTCTGTTACTGCATGCAATGGAATAGTAACCTCATCTTGTGGATCTTAGTACCTCCAATTTTCGATTGCTGCCTCGATTCAGAGCTCGATGCTTGTTCAATTCCTGTTGGCTTAGTAGCTTGTACTGCTGAAGTTTCAAATTGCTCAGCCTCCATCAAAACCTTCCCACTCACCTCTTCAATTCCCAATTGTTCCATTTTCTCAAAATTACACGAATTCCTACTCGTACCAGCTTGATTCCCTTTTGATTTCACCTGTGCATTGCTTCGCGCAGCAGTGGCCTGCGCCATTAGAGCTTTCTGAGAGGGGATCCGAGCTCTCTTTCCCATGGGTGACGTAGGTTTGCTAAACTACGCCGAGAGAGAATCGTATCGTGCGCCTCTCATTTTGTTTTCTATCAGCATTAAAAGTTCTAGTTCATAATTTTTGAATTGATCCAATTTTGATTAAAACGTTGTTGCTTATGAAAAAAATTAATAATTTTATTTAGTATTTTCTAGTGTATTAACAAACTTGAGGACTGTCACAAACCTTTCTTTCCCGTTTGGTTACTCAGTTTACTCTCCTCATATGTTATGTAGTAGTAAATTAAATCTCCAACTTGAGTGGATGTGCTCTGTCGACTAAACTTCCTTATTATCTCTTTCAAGCCGCTAATTAACACCTTGTATTTAGTGCGAGTCTTTCTAAAGAGTTTGATATGTTAATCAGGATTAAGAATGTATATAAGTTATAACAAAACTTGATCCTATTGCTTGTGGTAATTGATTAAATATTAATTCATTCGTATACTATAATGCTATGAAAGGAAGTAAAGTGATCTACTAGGACTGTTAAAGTCTCTTCTCGTTACGCATGATATGTCAGTTGTTACATGTCACTAATAAATGTCGAAATCCATTTTGATAAACCATTAACATAAAAGTTATTTTCTTACAATATAATGTAGAAACACGTCATATGGTAATCAGCATTTGGTTTCCAAAGTACATGTATTAGCTTGTGGAAACGTATACGTACTATATAAGTCCCAAAAATGTGCTAAGTTTCTGCATTGAAATGCTGGTGTGTGAACACTCAACAACTCGTTGACAAAAGTGACAAGTCCAAATTAAAGACTACTACAATACTGTCCAACTTCCAAAAACGTGCATTAGACTCTCTTGTCCACTCGTTTCCTCTCAGTCTTTATTTGCTCATGCTGTAGTCGTCTAACAAGCAATTTTAGGCTCGTTTCCATCTGCGTTTCAAATTCAATATTTACGCTGCTGTAAGTTGTAACCTAAGGGCAGTCGGAATTCTATAAAGATGATTACTAAAGTTAGAGAACACCTTGGATTCAAACCTATGGCATAAAGTGATTTTTGACTCACTACGTAAAGGAGATTTAGAAATATACATGTTAACAAACAAAAAATTGTTTTCTGTATAAATAGTACTATAATTTAGTGACAGAGAGAATCCAATTGAACTTTCTTGAGCAATGAGTAGCTCTATTTCTGCTAAGGGAAATGCTAATTAACGACAAGACTTGGAAATTTTAGATGGCCATAAATTAAATTTTCCGGATGGGCTTTTCCGCGACGTATATGAAAAGCCCAAGAATATAGTTTGGGCTGACGTGAAACTTCGGCCTAAATAAGGGGGCATTTGCATCTATACCCGTTTTTTGTGCCACATTTTAACTTGTGCCCGCTTTGCAAAAAAAATTGCAAGCGTACCCGCTTTTTCACATAACTTCAGCCCACGGGGCTGAAGTTTTTCTTTTGTACTGGAAAACTTCAGCTGAAGTTTGTGTCTTTGTAACCGGAAAACTTAAGCTCTAGAGCTTAAGTTTTCCAGTTATAAAATAAAAACTTAAGCAGTTTTCCAGCTTAAGTTTTCCAGTTATAAAATAAAAACTTAAGCTCTAGAGCTTAAGTTTTCCAGTAATAAAATAAAAACTTAAGCTCTAGAGCTGAAGTTTTTCTTTTGTACTGGAAAACTTCAGCTCTAGAGCTGAAGTTTTTGTCTTTGTAACCGGAAAACTTAAGCTCTAGAGCTTAAGTTTTCCAGTTATAAAATAAAAACTTAAGCAGTTTTCCAGCTTAAGTTTTCCAGTTATAAAATAAAAACTTAAGCATTTTTCCAGCTTAAGTTTTCCAGTTATAAAATAAAAACTTAAGCAGTTTTCCAGCTTATGTTTTCCAGTTATAAAATAAAAACTTAAGCTCTAGAGTTTAAGTTTTCCAGTTATAAAATAAAAACTTAAGCAGTTTTCCAGCTTAAGTTTTCCAGTTATAAAATAAAAACTTAAGCTCTAGAGCTTAAGTTTTCCAGTTATAAAATAAAAACTTAAGCTCTAGAGCTGAAGTTTTTCTTTTGTACTGGAAAACTTCAGCTCTAGAGCTGAAGTTTTTGTCTTTGTAACCGGAAAACTTCAGCTCTACAGCTGAAGTTTGCCAGTTATAAAATAAAAACTTAAGCAGTTTTCCAGCTTAAGTTTTCCAGTAATAAAATAAAAACTTAAGCTCTAGAGCTGAAGTTTTTCTTTTGTACTGGAAAACTTCAGCTCTAGAGCTGAAGTTTTTGTCTTTGTAACCGGAAAACTTCAGCTCTACAGCTGAAGTTTGCCAGTTATAAAATAAAAACTTCAGCTCTAGAGCTGAAGTTTCTATGTTGTAACTAGGAAACTTCAGCTCTAGAGCTGAAGTTTTTGTCTTTGTTTCTTGTACTGTTTCTTGTACATTCATCAAAGGAATTACATGGAAATATCTAGCAATTTTTGGCGGATAGTCTTGAAATATCATGTTTAAGTAGCTACATATTATTTCCCGTTAAAATTTGTTAGAATGGTCAATGAAAATCTGACGATTACATATCGTGCAAAGCTAAATCCAGAAAATCTATCTTCTTCAGTTACCGCAAAGCATGAAACTAGCAAGTTCCAATCTCATATTCTATTTGTAAAGGCTTATCTCAAACACTAACTACAGTGAAGAGCAAGAACTGTGGTATTGAAGAAGAAGAAGAAGAAGAAGAAGAAGAAGAAGAAGAAGAAGAAGAAGAAGAAGAGGAGAAGGGGAGGAGAAAGGGAAGCTGAAGTTTTTTAAAAAGTGGGTACGGGTGCAAACAGAAAGACAAAGCGGCTACAGGTTAAAAGGGGGCGCCCAAATAGGGCGCCCCGTGCAATTTTTACCTAAATAAGTAGAGATTTTTAAAAAAATAGCCAGATTTACAAGTGGTCATTCAAAAATAGCCATAGTTTCAAAAATCATCGAAATTTATCCACTTTTCATGTAAAGATAAATCTGAACGAAAACACTGTTCAAAATCCAAAAAATACTCCAGCATAATACACTGGAATTCCAGTATAATATATTGGAACTCCAGTATATTATACTGGAGCCAGCAAAGTATACCAGTCCAGCATAATATGCTGGAAGTTCATACACAGATGCACCGAACTCCAGTATATTATGCTGGACCTGTTGCAACAAAATAGTAGCTATTTTTCAATGACTTGGAAAACACTGGCTATTTTTGAATGACCAGTTCGAAAACTGGCTAGCCCGTGCTATTTTTTCCTTAAAGACGCCTCCTTGACCCACATAAGATGGTACTACTATTTTTTTCTGTTGCAGCAAAAGTAATATTTATCAAACTATTATCTCAGATAAATAATTTATGAGTAAAACTAAGGCCATTTCCAAGGCTGCACCAAAATTTGCACCAAATTCAAATTTGGAGTAAAATTTGGTGCTTTTTTTTGCTCTAATGAAACACCAATCTTGCACCATTATAGTGCATGAATAGTGTTGCACCAACACTATTCATCCCACCAAATTTGATTTATTATTATTTTATTCATCTTTTTATTTTTTGGACTTTTAATTTATCATATATTGTGTATATAATTAATTTTTATACTAAGATCTTTATAATTTTAATTTTATATCCTATTTTATTGATATATTAATTTTTGTATATATTATATTTATATAAAATTATAAGTTAATTTTATTATTATTATAATTGTATAAAAAGAAATATAATCATTATTTAAAAATAAAATTGCAAATGTAAGATATCTAATGTTGCTAAAAGTGAAAAGTGAAAACTAAAATTTAAAAAAAAAATTAACAATTCATAAAATAAAAATACATTATAATTAAAGTATATCAAAGGAGGATACATTAAAATTGAAATTACATTAAAAAACATAAAACATAAGTTTAGTAATCCCCTATGTCATTTTCAGGTGCACCAAAATTACCAAAATACTAAGAGAGCGGGGTAGAAGATTGTTGTGCTTGTGGTTGTTGAAATTGTTGACTTCTTTTATCGATTATTCATTTTTGTTCTTGTCGCAAAAATTCACGAAGATTTGGATCGTCAATAGAGGCGAAAGTTGAATATTTATGTGGTACTTAAATTAAAATGTGACTATGATGTAATATTTATTTAATTATCTTTTATCAATGATTTCACTTTTAGTTGATTTATCCTTTAAAATAATTTTGTAATAAATGATTATATTAGTGGTGAATGTGAATTATATATAATGAATATGGAAAAAAGAAAAAAGACAGTATTTGTTTGAAGGAAATAAAAAATAAAATTTATATAGAAGATAATAATATAATATAGAAGAGATAGAAGAAATATTATTTTTTGGTATAAAAAATGGTATAATGGTTGGAGTAAATTTGGTGTACACCATTTTGGTATGAAATTTGATGTTAGGGTCGGAGATGGTCTAAAAAGGAGTGCATTAGAAATATGAGATAATTATATAAATGCTTGTTAATCCTATTTTAGAAGTGAGAAATCTACGTTAGATATTTTCATATGGTTTCAAAATCAATATGACAAGTACCATTAGAAAGAAACGCGAGTAGTAAGTTAGAGAAAACTTAATAAACAACTAAAATATAAATGAATAGATATTCACTAGTGCACCTTAATTTGTGACTAATGCTTCTCTTACAATAAAATCAATTTAATTTGGTGTTAACATCGTGCAAGTATTCCATTGAAAATTTTATATTAGAATTAATCCACATTGCACTGATATAAAAAAGTAGTGAAATTTTAACATAACTACTGCGGAAGCTTTTAATTTTTAAGAAAATCAGACAAATACATATCCAATTATTCATGCGGAGTTTAGTAACTAGATTGTTATAATCACACAATGTTAGAGCTGAAAATTGTAATAAGCCTAGTTAACATGCCCAACTTATATTTAGGGCCAAATGTAATATAAGGTACCCGGCCCAAATTGTATATATTAGTCAATGTGTATTATTCTAGAGACGGATTTTATTTTTGTATCCAAACACATTCAATGAATAGATCTTTGTAGAGCTTCTCTCTCTAGTCTTGTTGCCAAATTAGGGTTCCTCAATCTATGGCTTTCATCTG